CTCACGTTATGATATTGAACTCATTTGGAAACAGTCAGGTATAACATTACCTTTTGAAGAAATTTGGGAAGCATATAAGTCTCTCATCTCTCCTCGTTCATACCTTGAGATTCATATCATGACTAATACCATTAAAGTCAAAAATATTCCATGGGAACGACCAACATTGTTTTAAAGTTTAACCTTCAATTGACTGATGGTAAACAAATTCCATGCATCTCTGTCGCCATTTCTGTTAATATTTTTGCTGTCATTCATATCATCCACTTCCCCATCCGTTACTTTTGAGGATATGCGTTAGAATAGCTGTTCTTAAATGAAGGCTTTTCACCTTTAGCGCATAAACTCTATAACTTTCTGCATACTTTATGTTTGAACCTCCTGAGCCATCATTGACATAAATTTTTATAGGCTTCCACCCTTTGTTCATGTTCCTGCTTCTTCCCTTAGCTCTTTTGTTCAGTAGTTCTACATCTTTATACACAGCTCCTGTCTCAGTGAATTCAACAATATTTTCATTCGTTAGCTTTACATTCAAACCCTTGTCGAGTATATTGTTCATTTCATACATATAAAAGGTTTTTATTCTATATGAAATGAGAAGCAAATCCATCTTAGCTGGTGCCGTTAATGTTCCAATTGAACCAACATCAAATGTTGACTCACGAACGACAAACAATATTGTCATAAAGAACTATAGTTCGGAGTGTTTGAAAGAAAAAGAACCAGAACTGAAATCCGTGAATTTAAACTCAGCTTCAAACGCTAACGCTACATCAGATGTTAAGTTAGAGTATCCACCACTGGACCAAATTCTTTCAAGAGAAGCCAACGACAACCCTTACACAAATGTTCAAACAAATCCTTCAGATAACGTAGACCATTACCTTCTTCAGTTATACCAAACAATTTTACTCAAAGACGATAAGAAGCTTTTGACAAATCTTATAAGCAAGAACCAAATAATTCTAACAAAGGAGGACCTTGAAAATGTTATATCACGAATAACAGGGAAACAATGTGTCATTGACTATCTCGACCCTGAAATCGAATGCTGTGGTCAAACGCCACCATTCATGAAAATAGGTAACATCCGCATCATTGAAACACCAGGAACTACAGGAGTTGAGTTTAAGTATAAATATTCGAACGAGTATACAAAACTTTCAACAGAATATAAAGCTTTGTTTGAAATATGTTTTAGTAAATTAAAGCAATTTGTAATATCTATCCAAAACTTCTTCAACAGTATCGAACTCATCTTCATAATGCAAACCTAATCTTATTGACTTGGTGCAGTTTTCACTAACACAATATAGCGCTTTGCGCTCGGCGCCTTTGACGCCTTTTTCTGTTCTCTTGACTGACATAACTAACTCATTTGTTTCATCAAACAGCAATAACCAAAGTTCATGACCTAATACATAACATTCATACTTTATATTTTTAGCTCTGAGTTCTCTTGTAAGCTGTTGCATTTAATATTTTCTAAAAAGTCAACTTCAACAGTCATTCGCACTGGTGCCTTCAGTTCTACAGGCTCTCCTTGAAAGTCAACAAGTCTGAATTGCATGTCTTTCAAATTATGAGGACTAATGCGAACCCATTTACCTAAATGAGTTGCTATGACAGGAACGTTTGGAATGAACATTGAATTGACTGCATAACAGAAGGATTTATATTCTACTGAACCTTTACTATTAACTCCTGAAATACCTGTGACATTAGCTATTTTTGACTCAATGTATAAACAATTACCATAACATACGTATGGAACAGATTTCATCTCAATCGTTTTGTCAACACTTTTCAAAGGAAATGTCATATGGTATGCTCCCAGAAGCAATTGAACTCTATGACTCATTCGTGTTATCTTAAACTCCTTCGCATAACTGAACTTCAAAACTCCTGCAATAAGTTTAACATTCATTAAGTTTTCTTCGTTATCCTTGTTTATTGTAGTATTTATGAGAGCGCATTTAACACTCCAGCTAATGTTTCCATCTTATATTCTACATTATTGTGAAATCTTATTTCGTGCTTCTTTCCATCTATTTCAACTCCATGAAATCTGTTTCATCTGTTATGACAAAAGTTGCGATAGTATTGAAGTCAACAACTCTGAAAGCAAGGCTTCATTCTGAGACCTAAGTTTGTTTGTAGCTTTACTGTCCCGTATTCGTTTGGGTCTGTACTTTGCAAATAGAACAACATTTTATTCTCATTAAAATATGAGTATTGCTGCATATGCGTATGAAGCTGACAGAGCTAAACGTTTATATTTTGGTCAATACTCTCTCACACTTACTGACAAATATATTGTTATCAGTGATGGAAATACCGAGAAATACATAACATGGAAGGACTATGAAAAGTTTGACCCTATTTTAACTCCATGTACAATGCCATTCATTGTAAATGGTGAAGTTGTCATGAAGAACGACACAACAGTATATAAGTCTGTATATGAAGCGTTAGAATATATGTTGAATTATAATCCCGAAAGATTTGACCCAAGCACTACGTCATGTACAATGCCTTTTATTAAGGATGGTGAAATCGTAAGAGTTCCGGATTCAACGGTTTACAACTGCTGTTCAAAACAGTTTACAAAACATTTTAGCGAATATCTTTAATTCAGAAACTACAGAAATAAAATTACCATATATAACAGATGCTAAAGAAATTAAATCAAAAACGACAACATTATTTACGTCACTTAATGATTTAATGACTTATATCATTAATATTCCTGCACCAACTACAGCATTTGATCCAAACTCGACGGTTTGCAGTGTACCTTTCATAAAGTCGCAAACGGACTCTTTGAGTCCTGAAGGTCTTTCAGACCGAAGCGACCAGGGCGAAGCCCATGACAGTTCATTAATTGTTTTTAAGGGATTCAACAGTTAATGAATCATTAAAGGCGTCATTAATGAAAATCATTGATTTTAACTCATTCACGAATACATATAATTCATTCATTAATGTTTCATATGCTTCTAAAGAAGGTGAGCCAAAAACTATCGATAAAGCGGTGTATGAAATAAAAGCATCAACGACGAAATTGAATTCGTTAACTTTTGACGGTGATAGTTTCGTTAATGACATAACATCGGGGAAAACAATTTTAACGAAAGAATATTTAAAATCTCATGTTAGTGAGTTCGTTGAAATTGAAAAAGAAGGTGGAATTAAGTTCGATCCACTGAATTTCATTTTCAGCTTAGCGAATGCGGGTGTTAGTTTCGCTGAATGGACAACTATACAGAGTGAAATAAATGCAATATGGACGTTTTTGGGGTCAAAAGCGGGAATGGGTGAGCTTGTAAATGCTGCAAGAACATTAGGTGAAACAGGAAATTTTGTAGATGGTTTTAAAAGACTTGTTTCAAATGTTTTAACAAACACAAAGAAATTATTTAGATATACCATACATAACGGACGGATTTTCGAACAGGTAGCAACAAACCCTCCGGTTATGGCTGCGTTGATGATGGTTAGAGATATAAAACCACGTAACGACGGGAACGAAGAACATGAACAACAGAGCCCAACGGGCTCAGAGCCACATAGTGGCGAGGATACTGGTCGGGTTATTCAAGACATTAAAAACGTGTATCCTGAAGTTATTGATTTATTTAGAGGAGTTAATGATTCAATTTCAAAACATTCTATAACCCTCGATGAAGAGAATAAATTAACAGATTATATATTCGTCATTATTGCAGAATTAATGAAGAGAATAAATGAAAAAGGAAATTGGTGATATCATATAATGTCAGCGATGTAATGATGAAAGAAGAATTTTGACTCATTATTTACAAAACCGAAAACAGAATATAGTCTTTGACGTAATTACCGAATTAATGAAAAAGATTAATGATAATAAGAGTTCTGGCGGAAGAGTTGAATTAGAAGTGAATGATGTTAATGAGAAATTAGCCGAAAAAGCAGATAAAAACCACGTTCATTATATAACTTCAGACGAACAGATTATAACGGACTACCATGGATATTTAACACGAACTGAAGAAGTGAAGACAAAAAATGTTAATGAAAGAAGATATAAATACATTCGTGCTAAAGGTTATGACATAAGCTGTACTGTACAGTATGATGTAGCTAAAGCACCAGAAGCATTTGGTTATACCGGTGAAATTTATGCCTCTACTTTCAATGTTAACGGTGTATTAGTTGAACCAAGATTTATGTTAAGAGTTAAGGCAAAAATAACGTTTGAAGATGCTATTAAAAGTAAAGCTGACAAAGTTGAACTCGAAGCAATGAACAAAGTTTTGAAATCTCATAAACACAACATCTCCGATATAAATGAACTTCAAGCTACATTAGACAGTAAAGCTGACAAGAACCATACACATAAATCCTTCACTACTGTTAGAGCAGACGACATAATATTGAACTTTGACCTTGGTTCAAGTGCACCATTAGAAAATCCAAGTACAAGCGTAAAAGATACACTAAACTCCTTAAATAGTAAATGTATGAACATTGAAGGTCATGTCAGAAACTTTGAAACACATGAACTACCAGCAATGTTAGATAAGAAAGCAGATAAGAACCATACACATGATTTCTTCACAACTGTTGGTATAGAAAGTATTGAAGGAATGGTTGAAGGAACTGGTGGGGATGCATTATATTGGAAACCTCCTAACTTTCCACAAGGTTTAACATCGGAGGAAAACATAACGACGATGAAATACATTAGATGTAGAAATGTTTATGTCATGGAGGATGAAAATAATGTTAAATTCACTGCTCAAGATTTATATGACAAGAAAGCAGACAAGAACCATACACATAAATCCTTCACTACTGTTAGAGCAGACGACATAATATTGAACTTTGACCTTGGTTCAAGTGCACCATTAGAAAATCCAAGTACAAGCGTAAAAGATACTCTTAACAATTTAGATAAGAGTTGCAGGAATACCGAAGATCATGCCAGAAACTTTGAAGCATATGAACTACCAGCAATGTTAGATAAGAAAGCTGATAAAACTTATGTGGATGCAGAACTAACAAAGAAATTTTCGAAACCAGATACAATGACATTTACAACAGAAATTATAAATGGTGAACCAGCAACTCCATTTGAATTTGTTAGAGGTCTTCAACCAGATACTTTTGAATTTTTCTTGGATAATTCTATTGAACTAACATTACATTATAAAAGTGGAACAAATGCAACATTTCATCCGGGAGATACATTCCAAATGGTATTTAATGACATAAGTTCTTTAGAATATGTTTATAGAGTTATGAGCATATATGATTTAATATATCCTATAGGAGCTGTTTATACGTCTATGAATCCAATAAATCCAAACACTTTATTTGGTGGTAGATGGTATGAAATAGTTGACAGTTTTCCATTCTACACTAATACGCAGTCAATGAAGATGGGAGGTTCAAAGAAAATAGGTATTGAAAACCTTCCTTCACATATGCATAGGTTCAGTGGAAGAACATCTGTGGAAGGAAACCATTCACATTCAATAACAAAAAGAGGTTATATAAATCTTGCAGCGGGTTCGAATAGACAGGGAATGAACAGATATGATATCTCAGATGACCCCAAAGATGTTAGCACAGGTATTTTCTGTGGAACTGCAGGAAATCATACACATGTTGTAGCTGGTATTACAGACCCAGCAGGTAATGGAAAAGATTATATGCCTCCTTATATAACAATGCACGCTTGGATACGAGTTGGTTAAAATCTTTAACTTTACATAAATGAGCTTGAAAGAAGTATTCGAACAACATCCATGGAGGTCATTTAAGAAGTTCAATGAAGCTGCAAAGAGTTGGGGATTTACTAACAGAGCTGAAGTGAAAAGGTTCTTTGACAAAAATGTTGTACATCAAACAAAAATAAACCCTTACGACTACTTTTTACCAATTTACTCCAACACTCCTGACGCATACCAATTTGACACTCTCATTCAAAGCAGAAAAGGAGGACATAAACCATTCCTCATCTTCATAAATGTTAACACTCGTAAAGCTTTTGCGTATATAATGAGAAATAAAGGAACTCATGAAGTGTTAAGAGTTTTACAAAAGTTTGTAGCAGAACATAACCCAAGTACTTTAACATCAGACCAAGACAGTGCATACCTCAGCAACGAAATCACAGAATTTCTCATTAAGCATAACATAACTCACTACACTACTGAAGACCATAACCATAACATACTCGGCATCATAAACCGCTTCATAAGGACTCTCAGAGATTTAAATCAAGAGCGAGACTTTACCGAAGAAACAATGAAACATTTCATCGAAGTTTACAATTCCTCAACACATTCTACAACAGGACATACACCAAATTCAATGACACAACAACAAGAAGAAAAGTATATACAAAAGAAACGAAGTCAAACACAAAATATCAGAAATTCAACACAATTTACTCTCATTCCTGGTACAAAAGTTCGTGTAGTTCTTGACGACAAACCGTTGACAAAGAAACGTTTAAGGTTAAGTCGAAATTATTATATCGTAGACTCTACGCAAGGTAATGGATATCTTATAAAAGCTGCTGACGACTCTATTGCGTTTTATCCTCGTCATAAATTAGTCGAAAGTAGTAATGGCAAACTTGCTGAAACCATTGACGAAGCAAAGCGAGGAGTGGTTATTGAAATACTTGACTACAACATAAACGATGACACTTATAAAGTAAGATATGAAGGAGGCGTTGAAGATGTTATACCATCTAAGAACTTGAGAGAGTCGAAGCCAACACATCTGGGACCATTAGAGCGGGAGTACTGGAAAGATAAAAACATGCCAGAAAGAATAAGAAAATTCTTCTAAACTTTTTCATTAGATGTAAATCAGACATGAATGAGAACAGTCATGTATTATTAATGGTACCATTTATTTTTGTCATAAATTTACACCAAAAATATATTATAGGTGAAGAGGTGAGATGTCACCTGTTTTTTCACCTGTTTTTTCACCTCTTGAATTTTCATGAATTTTCACAAAAGACCAAAAATAATGTTTAGGTGAAGAGGTGAGATGTCACCTGTTTTTTCACCTGTTTTTTCACCTCTTGAATTTTCATGAATTTTCACAAAAGACCAAAAATAACGCTAATTTTATTTTTATTTATTTTTTTATTTTGTATGTAAGATATGATTTCAACAATCGGCACAACAACAATTCAAGCCGCGAACGGCGGGACTCTGTCCACAACAACAGCACCAAACTCGTTAGTCATGAATCCTACGTCAATGTTAGTAGAGATGAAAAGCTTCATTCCTTCTTCATATACTTTCGAAACAAAAATCCAGAAGATAAAGCAAGAACTTTTAACAAGTAATTTAGACTGTAGTGCGAAAGATGAAGAAAATGAAGAATATCTTTATGAAATGCAGGACATTATTGACCATTTACCCAAATTGCCTGAAATCCAACAACAAAAACTCACTATTCCTGAATTCGACGAAATTGAAGTTAAAGTTACTGATTCAGTAGAAATAAAGAAGTTCATACGTAAAGTAAATTATGAATTCCTTGGTTTTCATTGCAACCATAAGGTTATGGACAAAGATTGCGACATGGTATATAAAAACATTTCTGACATATATAAATCTGAGGAGTTTAAGACTTACGATAACTTTGTTTCATTAGTTGCAAAATGTGTTTGGGAAATAAGAGATAAAGATAGAAGAGGCAAAGTATGGAACGAACAAATAAGACCCGCTATGTTTGAGATGAAGAGAGCAATTGACGCCTTAGTTGTTTTAGCTGGTTTTATTTCAATGTATAATGCAAAAATGAACCCGCAATGTTCAAAATGTAAGGCAGCAATTAGGAAATATAACTACTCAGTCAAAGAGATAGAAAGAATGAGAAACGACTATGCAGACTTAAAGAAAGAAGCAGAAAAGCCAGCAGAAGATAAAATGGACATGTTAGCATTTCTGAACAAAAACTATCCAACAGTAGAAGATTTCCTTCTATCTGACGTCAAGAAGAAGTATAAAGAGACTTTCGGTATTGTTAAAACTTTTGATATCCTCAGCGAAGAAATAGAAGCTACAAAACTGTTTAGGATTTCAAATATACATCGTACAATTCATGTAAAACGCTTGTGAAAATTCAAGAGGTGAAAAATTAGGTGAAAAAACGGGTGACATCTCACCTCTTCACCTAAATTATATTTTTGGTCATTTACACTCATTTACGAAGAAGTTATGACAAAGCATTTACGAAGAAGTTATGACAAAGCATTTACGAAGAAGTTATGACAAAGCATTTACGAAGAAGTTATGACAAAGCATTTACGAAGAAGTTATGACAAAGTCAAGACCCTTTGGGTCTCGCCGCTTAGCGGCTGAGGTGAAAAATTAGGTGAAAAAACGGGTGACATCTCACCTCTTCACCTAAATTATATTTTTGGTCAAAGCTTCCACGAGAGAAAAGATTCCTCATTCGCTAAGGATTCCAAAAATGAAAAAATCATTGATTTCGGCTGAGAAAAAACAGCAAAACCCTTCTTCCACGGGAACAAAGAAATAAAGAAGAAATAAAGAAGAAATAAAGTAAATTTTTTATTTATTCCCGTGGAAGATAGAGCACTTTTATGACACTTTTTATTCACGACAAACAAGACAAATAAAGAAAATAAGAAAATACGGCGCCGTCGCGGTTCGAACCACAGACCCTGACCCCTCCATAACACCACCTTAGACCACTGTGCTACGTAGCCTGTCGACATAAGATTTTATAAATTGCATATTTGACGTAAATTTATTTCCATCTGGCTTCCCACTGCATAAGATATTCATACGTGTTTGTAAGACATTCATTAAACTTCTTTTCTATTGCATCTAATCTTGCGTTATTTTTTTCAATAACTTGTCTGTATTCTTCATCATCTCCAGCAGTGTTTGGGTCTTCACGTTTAAAATATTCATTGTTAACCAATTTTTTATCTACAAATTTTATTAGTGTTTGATTCACTTCGTTATGATAACGGTCATATTCTTTCAATACGTAAGTGAAGACAAAATGCGTCGTACCTTCAATCTTAAAGCTTAAAGAACTTTCAACACAGTTTTGAGGGTCTGTCAGTGCGTCAATGAGATAGTATTCGAAGTCAGTCAATAATCTTTTTAAAGTCATTTCATACAGGATAAAATTTAATGTTGTGAAGAAATAGTGTTTATCTCAAAAAAAATAAAGTTAGTTTTTATTTTATTTATTTTTTTATCCTGTATGTAAAGACAGATATGTCAACATTAGAGAACACAACAACTGCTATCGTTCATGAAGCCATAAATGAAGAATACGAATACATACAGTATAACAAACAGTTACGTCTCATTCGTTCTGTCAAAGACGACATGTACCAAATGCAAAGTATTTTGACAGCATGTTATGCTCCAGATACTAAACTTCCTAAAGACTGGTTTAGGAACCAAAGCACTATTGAACTATTAAATGAAGCACAGCGAGACATACTTTTTTCTGAAAACAGTGAAGAACAGCGAGTAGGTAAAAAACCCCAGTCGCCAAAACTCTATGAAAACCGTGAAAAATTGCCAAACGGTTTGAGAGGATATTATGTTCATAGACTTTTAGTAAATGCAGTTGCAATGTGGGCTTCACCACGTTATGCTTGGTATGTTTGTAAACTTCTTGACGAAATTCACAGACAAGAACGTGAAGAGATGGAAAAGAAACTTCAAGCAAAAGATGAAGTCATTGAATCCAAAGACAAAAGCATACAGAAAAGAATACCGCGTTCAGTACCAAAAGGAAAGGAAAAGAGTTATAAGTATATGATTTACGCTGAAGAGATGGAGAATGAAGAAGATAAAGATATGGTTATGTTGCATTTAGTCAGAAGAAACAACAAAAGCTTTTACGACCTTGCTAAAATATATAAATCTGACAGAAACTGGTTCTATCGTGAAAACTTACCGATTTCAATGACACCGAATGAGCAAATAAAAGAAATTGTCAAAAATACTCTTCCTCAAACACACTATGACATCAAAGGTTGCACAATACTTACATTCAAAGAAGACTTACCATTGTTAAAGGAAAAAATAACAGAATATTTCGATAACTTCAAAGAGGAAGAATGAAGTCACGACAACATTAACGAAGAGAGAATGAGGTGAAAAAAGAGGTGAAAAAACGGGTGAGATCTCACCTCTTCACCTAAACATTATTTTTGGGTCATTTACACTCATTTACGAAGAAGTCATGAATCCTACGTCAATTATGTTCGACACTGTAAGCATTAACAATAACATTAACGAAGCATCATGCTGTTCGCTCTTTCGTACCTGTTGTCAAAATGTCAAGACCTTCAGGTCTCGTCACACAGTGACTGTTGTCATCATTTTTAAAAGAAGTTAATTAACCTGGTGACACATGGTGACGTGGTGACACTTTCAGTTATTCAAAAATATATTTTTGCTTAAATAGCTTCAGGGTCAATTTCTTCAACCATTTCACTTCCTTCGTCAATGTCAATAGAAGCTTCTTCAACCTTTGGTAAGAATTTCTGTATAACATCTTTGTTCGTTATTGTCTTCAGAGATGAAGGATAATATTTCACATTTGTTTCACCCTTCTTATATTCTTTCTGTTCGGAAAGATTCATAGCAATACTGAAGAAGTCAATGTTGGAGTTCTTTATAACAGTATAATGAGTATCTTTGACATTCACGAAGAAACCCTTTTGTTTCAAAACTACTGCTAACTCTTGTGAAGTATAACGTTTGCGGTCAATGACGATAGCTAATGGTCTGACATACTGACCAAACTTAGATTCTTTCACAAACTTCTTGTTAAAGATAACATTAACGTTTGCAGAACCATTGAACTCATTCTTGATGGCAGTAGCGAGAGCATTGTATGAAAAGAACTTGCAATCTTGCATGTGTTTCATTAAAATAAAAATATTAAATTATTTTGAAAAATAACTTAAAAAAATGTAATCTAATTTTTCAAAAAATATTTTTTATCCGATAGAAAAGATGACAGAAAAATTAACTTTTTACATAGCGCCAGACCCTTCTTGCCCACATCCTTTTAAGCCACAATATATAGACATAGAACTAAATAGAGAAAGCGAAATTCTACAAATAGAAGAAAGCGAAATTCTACAAACAGAAGAAACATATAGAGACCTAGATAACGAAAATGGATATGCGCTATTCTGGTTAGATTGTCCTTATGAAATGTATGAAAAAAAGGCTTTATATGAAGAATATAGAAAATATTGTCATGAAAACAATATAAGACCAAGCTCTAGAGAAAAATTCTATGCTGGTATAAAACATCTTTTCGAAGTTCGGAATGGCAAATATAGAAAGAAATAATTTTTCTAAGTTTATTTTTTCAAAAAATATTTTTTTATTTCCTACTAAAGATGTATCGGAAGTTGTCTAAGTTAGAACACTCGGAAATAAAACAACTTCTTACAGAAGCTAATATAGATGTTGCAAAACATTACGCGACAAACAAAAAAGCACTCGCTGACATCCTCAATGACTATAATGGTGCAATAAGTTATGATAGAATTCATGAGTTCATAAAGCCGCAACGCGGCGAGGACGAAGTCCATGCAAGAGCATTTCCTTTAAATGACATTGCTATTGACTTATATCATAGACGTTCAGTACCTCATGAAGTAAGAAGAGAAATGTTTGACATAACAAATGCAAACGTTGGTGAAACAAGAAGAGCTGTACCACATGAAGTAAGAAGAGAAATGTTTGACATAACAAATGCAAACGTTGGTGAAACACGAAAGAGAGATGACACACTGAAACAACAGAGAAGAGAGATGTTTAAAAGTGCTATAGAACAAGTTCGCAAAGCTAACGATGTCATTCGTTCCATTGACGACAAACCAAAAGAAGGTGAGAGATGGTTAAAGAAAGATGAAAGAGAATAGGAAGAGAAAATGTGAAGTCAGGCAATAGACTCATTGACTTTAACATCGAAGCTTAGATGAACCAAACAGGAGACTACTTACACAAACATTTCGGTAAGGTTTTCATGAGACTCTTAGAGAAAATTAAAAATAAACTCGCAACAAAGATGGATGGTATTGTTATAAACTTGGTGGAAAGTAGAATGTTCTACGTTAAACCTCAATAATATTGGAACATTACTACATCAGCTCTTAGAGAGAACTTTATATCAGAGATAGAAGCAAATGCTGCAGGTATTGTTGAAATGCACTATGACTTCTTCTTGACAAACATAAAGAATCTTACCGAAATAAAGATGTATGATTTAACAGAATATGAAGACTTAACGATGTCAGATGTAAAGAAAGGCAAACCAAAAAAGAGACCATATAGAGATGAAAGCACACTGACAGAAAGACAGAAAAGATTATTGAACAGACTTAAACAAAACAGGAGAAAACAAGATATAGATGACTTCTGGAATGAAATCCTTGGTGAAAAGAAGTTTTATAAGAAGAGAAGCGGTCAGTTCTGGAAGTATCTTTGCACATTACCTATAAATCTTGAACGCTACCAAATCTTCAATGAACTGAACAAAAGAACTGCAACACTTATGACAGAGGACAATTGTTTCGTTTATGCTTGCATTCAGGCTGGAGTAAATGAAGAAACTATGACCACATGAGAGAAGTCATTCGTGTTAGGAGGACTTTCCTCAAAGAAAGTACAAGAAATTTCTGACGCAACAGGTATAGCATTTAATTTACCATTGGTTATTTCAATGACTCAGACATAATGAAATAAAGAGATATATACCAAAAGAATGCGAAACTGTTAGAACTATTACTTTCTTGTTGAAGACCACTACATGCTAAATGAAAGATTACCAATGACAACATACTTCATTCGAAACTATAAGAAATTCTCAAAGCTTGTGTGGAATGAACATGAGAAACAGATGAAGATTTATACAAAGAAGAAGATAAATATGTAGTTCGTTATGATAGAACAACACCGTTATGATGTTATGAAAACATTGTGGAGTGCAAATATTTCGAACCTATTTCTTATGGAGAACTTTTCACATTATACTACTGACTATATAAACAGAACCTTGCACCATTTAAAGATTTGACATATGCTCCAAAGTATTGTGTACA